CTAGGTTTCGAAACCCTAACGCTGATTGCATTCGCTTTAGGGTTTTAATTCAGCATCATAAAAGTACGTGAAGCAGGTCACCGATCGGCACAACGACACGGAGCTCCATTTGGCGGCGCAAAGGGGGATCTCGATGCTGTTAGGTAATTTTGTGGGAGGTTGATGCTCAGATGACGGGGACCGGGGTTGAGTTTGACGCAGAGGTGGCGGCCATCAGGTTGGTGTTGGCGAATGAGTTGAATGAGATGGGGGGCATTGGCGTTGTTCATTGCGGCGAAGAGGATATTGTGGTGGAGTTGTTGAGGTACACGGATAGAGAGAGCTTGGCGAGGAGGAATGGGTCGGGGTTTGATTCGTTGCATGTGGCGGTGAGAGAGGGACATCGAGGTATTCATTAAAGAAAGAACTTCGATTAATGTCGGGGTGTAAAATTCAGTTCTAAAAGAAAATTTGTATTAATCGAATTGTGTATTACAAATCAAAAGAAAATCAAAAATTACAACAGAAGAGAAGGGAATGCCCTTCTTTTTGAACGCGGGTTCTTCGGCAGCGGTAGGACGCCTCCCTCGGTGCTCGTACCGAGTTTACTTCCCTTGGACGATCCGATCGAAGTTGCGGTTAGAGCTTCAGTGCGCAATAGAAGCCCTTAGTGTGATCGAGTTCAAGCTTACCCGAGCTTGAAATATTATCAAGGTCGAATGCTTAGAATGAGCTACGATGCCAGAATTGTAAAGAGCTTAAGAGCCTCTAATCTGAGAATTCAGATGAGTCTACTTCAACAATCCAAGTAAAGTGCTAAGAATGTTTCCACAAGCAAATAAGCCCAGTAAAAGCCTTTGTTTGGAGAGCTCCTTTAACCAGCTAGCTAGCTTTTCCAAGTCTCTTTTCAAAGAGTCCTGAAAATCAAATATGCCAAGCACCTCTTTACATTGGCAAAGGGAGCTTATAAATAGGCAAGGGATAGCATGAGTCATCCCTTCATTTGTGGGATGTGACCACCTATGGGTGAGGAGCTCCATGCCCTTCCCTAGCTGTGGGATGTGACCACTATATGGGTGATGACAGCTATGCCTCATCATCACCTAGGACGTGGGGCAGTGGGTAGGCCCACTCATAATCAAGCCGCCGCCTGCACTGTTCAGGCGAGGCTGCACTTGTGTTGGCGAGGTCAACAATCAGGCGAGCTTGACTCGTGCTGGCGAGTCAAGCAAATAGGCGGGGTTGAGTTCGTGCTGGCGAGCTCAACAATCAGGCGAGCTTGACCAGTGCTGGCGAGTCAAGCAAACAGGCGGGATTGAGTTCGTGCTGGCGTGCTTAACAATCAGGCGAGCCTGACTCATGTAGCCAAGTCAAGCAAACAGGCAGGGTTGAGCTCGTGCTGGCGAGCTCAATAACCAGGCGAGCCTGACTCGTGCTGGCGAGTCAAGCAAATAGGTGGGGTTGAGTTCGTGCTGGCAAGCTCAACAATCAGGCGATCTTGACTCGTGCTAGCGAGTCAAGCAAATATGTGGGGGTGAGTTCGTGCTGGCGAGCTCAATAATCAAGCGAGCTTGACTTGTGCTTGTGAGTCAAGCAGGTGGGGTTTTGTCACTTAGGTAACTTTTGCGGTCTATAAGACCCTCTTCAAAGTTTTCAAACCTAAATCAAGTTAAAAATATGGTTTGGAACACTTTGAATGAAAGTGATCCTTGCTCATAGGTTCAAGCGAACTCGACTCCCCCGGTTGAGTTGAGCCATTCAGGCGAGCCTCGTGGAACACATGCAAGCCTAAGTCCGCAGGCGAGCTCAAGTTGTGCAGGCGAGCTCTAGATGTCTCCAGGCGAGCTTTGTGCTTGCAGGCGAGGTTATGTCACGACCGGCGAGGTCCAAGTATCGACAGACATGCCACGTGTCCACGAGCAGCGTCCTGCGCTTGCTAGCTAAGGTGGTGTGGGCACATCAGATCACAATAAATGTGATCTGACGGGATGGTTTTGTTTTACCGCGCTCGATCTAAGCCATAGATTTGGCGGCGCCTTTGATCTCAACCGTCA